GAGAGTTGTGTCTGTGCTCCATTGAACAGCAACTAATCCTTATGAAGTGAAACAGGAGACCTTGTCTGGCCTGAAAAGAAATTACCTATATTCAAGCAGCTGTGGCATTTGTCTGGGATATGGAAAATTAGTAGCGCAATGATGTACACCTGGTGATACACAAGTATCTAACTGCCTCCTCACCCCATACACCATACACCCAGTTCTCTTTCTCTGGGATTAGAAATCCCATCCTTATCCTGGTAAACATCCTCCACTGGTGTTAACAGTTACGTGTTCCAAGAAAAAGCAAGTCACAAGGGGTAAATCAGCATCTTCGTAGGAAGCAAAATTTCCTTGCATATTTCCTGGCTGTTTTCTTCCTTCCTTATCCCTCTTCAGCAGATTTTGTCTCTTTACAGAGCAAAATGGAGCTGAAGGGTAGGGGAAAGAAGTGACTGAATGTAAATGTAAAGCAGTCTAGACGACTGCAGATGGGGCGGTCACATCACAGTGCAAATTCAAGCTGACTGCTGAGCACTGAAGATCCTGGCTGACAGGGTGAGCATCATCTGGCCGAGGCTGCTGCCACCTTTTTTTTTGCTGTTTTCTTCAAAGCCATGTGTCTGAGTTCCCCGTGGATTTCATCTGGGGATAATTTATCACTGATAAATAACTGTTTGTGTTGAATTTACAGATGAGCTTAACAGTTTCCTTTAATGTTGCAGTTTAGTAGCTTTTCCATTTCAGGTTTGCATGAGCACTGGTATTTGAAGGAAATAAATCTGTCACTCAGATAATGTATTTGGCCTTGCTACCAAAATATATAAATAAAAATTGCAAGGTCATTAGCCATATCAAAAGAAAGAAAAATGTGCCGTGCATTAAATAGCTGACTTCCAGGATGGGTTTGGCAAATAGCAATATACTAAAGTGTACTGCTTTCTTCTGATCATGAAAATCAATTAATTCCTTTCTTTTTTGTAGCACTTCCCCTTTGCAGTGGAAACCCTCAGCATATATCGGTCCAAATTTATGAGCAGTGTGTTTTTCAGTGTAATTCATTTATCAAATGTAAATTCTAGTGGCTAGTGATTTACTACAGAACTGTTTGGAAAGTAGGAAATAAATATTACCTAACAAAGTATTTAAAAAACCCAACCAACCAAAACAAAACAAAACAAAACCCCAAAACACACCATCTAGAAGAAGAGATTTTATCTGCCACTTCCCAAGCAATTTGTCTTTGTCCCTGAGAAAGCAGGCTAGGTGGAGAACTGCCCCACTATTGTTCTGGAGCACATCTTGTCTGGAAATGAGCTCTTATGCTCAGTAAAAGGCAAATTTGGAAAGCTATGGATTATTCCTTATACTTTAATAGCTTTCATTTCAGCTAGACTATAGTACTAGATGCAGACCTGAGGGAACTGAAATGCACAAGCTTCACTCACTGTGCATCACTCCAAATCTTGCTGATTCAAAGAGACAAGTCCTCTTTGTTTCCCACCACAGAATTCAGACAGTAAACAATCAAAAGGAGAAAATTGCATAGTATGTGTATGGTGGCATCTGGGAAGGGTGGGTGATACAGTCTTCACTCAGCCCCTTTTATCAATCTTCATCAACTTGGGATAGAGAGATAAGAGGTCATTGATTGCTTCTTATGTGACCAGGCTGCAGGTAAAGCTATACAGGATAGTTGCACCAGAGGTTTCTTCTTTCCTCACTGCCTGGCAGGTAAGCAGCTGAGAGGTGAGAAATGCATCTGCTGTGCTCACATCCTCTGCCAAGTGTGGCAGTAAGCCTCGTTGCTAAATAAATGCACATTTTGGTTAATGGCCAGATTCACCAAGACATCCTGCGCTGGGACTCGTGTCTTTATTCTTGGGTAAAATTTCCATGGGATGTCCTGTACTGACCAGGTAAGTCAGTGCTTGTTTCTTACTGGTGAAGGTAGGGCAAAGCGTGTTTGTAAAGGGAGAATTGCTGTGCTGAAAATCAGCGAAGCCTGCAGGGGCTACATTAGAGAAAGAGAAATAATTGACTGACTCACAATCAAAGTCTAAGTTTCCGTAATGAGAAAATAAGTGTGTTTCCATGTGTTGTTTTTTTTTCCTGTTGGTATTGTGCATGTGAGTAATTTGTTTCCTTCTATTTCCCAAATGTAATGTTCAAATCCCCACATAAAAGGCTCTGGCGTGGAATAGGTCATATGAGATGCATATGTGTGCTAAACGTGTATCAGATTCTTCAGTCACATTTAAACTATTAAAATTTTGTTAGTTGATTTGAAGAGCTGATACAGTAACCCTCACATATAGGTGCCAAACTAAACCAGAGGACATAATTGATTTTTCCTGAAGTTTCAGTAATGAGCACTAGGCTAAATTAGTCCCTATGGTAGAGGTTACCCCCTTATAATTTGACTTCTGCCTAATGGTTCCAAGAATAGTGACATTATGGGGAAGGACTTGGGTATTTATGGCATCTAAACTTACATACCTAACACAGCCAGCTGCATTCACCTCGGAGTCATCTATAGTCAATGTGCAGAGAGAGGGGTTTCACCCCCGGAGCAGGTAAATCGGGCGGTCGTTCTGAACCCTTTGATAGTACGCATCTCTAAGTAGGGAACACCCTACATACAGCATCTGAAAAGAAGCAGTTGTATTGCCTTAAAAAGAAAACAAAAACAGAACAAAAAAATCATGTAATTGTTTTTCCTCCAACTCTCCCAGGTCTGGCAGTGCGGAGGAAGCATGGAGGTGTTACCCTGCTCTCGTGTGGCCCATATTGAACGCACAAAGAAACCCTACAACAACGACATTGATTACTATGCAAAGCGCAACGCCCTGCGGGCCGCTGAGGTCTGGATGGATGACTTCAAGTCGCATGTTTACATGGCGTGGAACATCCCCATGGCAGTAAGTACAGGTCATGCTCTCTCCTGAACAGAGGCAGAAATGTGGCTGGCTGTTCCCAGTTAGCTCTTTGAGGTGAACGGTGTTACTGTATAAAGTGGGCTAGGCTTAGGGGGAAGAGTGTTTTCACGCTGATGCATGCTTAATACGGAGAGTTCTGCCATATAAACTTCCTTCCTCAGTGTAAGTTTCATTGTACGCTCAGGAGTGGTGACACAGATTTATAATTTAACTAGAGCACGATGTTTCAGGTTTATGTGCTTCCTCAGAAGTCATTAATTTGGGATGCCATTAAACTCTGAGGTGTTCATATGCTACAGTGGTGAGGACTGGAGAAATGTCCGTAAATAAATATCATCATTCATTGTGAGACTCAGTAGACCTCACCAGCATAAAAAACAAAGTATGCGATAAAAGAATCACACATTAACTAGCTTTATTGTCTACAGGCTGAGGGTTGCAATGTGGACGCATTCTGTTTCTTACTGTGCATACGAATTGTAGATGGCATGTGGGAGCCTGTAGGAATCCATGTAATATAAATATTAGATAAACTGTGGGTTCAGTTTATCACTTTATTCTGTAAGTATATCACATGCTACATCTCCACTGAGCATAATTCTTGGAGAGACGAGGTATATGTTATATCCCAGTCAGGTGGAAGCTGACTGCTGCTGTATTCTTTAGTGGTATTTGCATCCAAATTATTCATGTGAAGGGGCACAGGGAGTGCAGCTGAGGGGAAGCATACTCTGATCTGGAAGTAATGATGATTTAGTTAACCTTTATATGAGGGGTTTGTCCAGAGCTGATTGAAGTAAATGGAAACAGAGGTGTTCCTATCAGAACAGGAAAATACGCCAGCCCAGCAGCGTCTTTGTGAATATTCAGTAATGATCTAGAGCTCATCAAAGTCATGAGAGTCTTGTCAAAGACTGCATCAGATTTAGTCCATGTCCTAAATGTCTACTTGTACTTTGGTACATCAAAACCCATTTTACTTAATTCCTGTTGTAGTTTTGAAAATACATACACCTAAAGGAGCAATGTTTCATTCTTTGCCATGTGATGTCAGAATATGTTCACACGTGTCCAAATTTCACTTACTGCTGTTCAGCATTGGACACCGTGCAAGGTCTCTGTGAAGATGTGTTTTGGTGACTTCTTTTGGCATGAGAGGTAATTGCAAGGAATTATTTTGCCTTAATAAAAGGCATTACTGCACAACTACTTGCCCACTGAGATTTCCGTGATAGTAGGAGGAAGACAAAGCAGTGTCCATCTAAGTTTTTAGGGGTATTTTGGCCCTGTTTGCATCCATTTGGTAAAATGGTCAGTTTTAATAGGAGACGAAAAAGTAACCTTGGTATATTTGTTTGCTTGATGCTGTCTGTAAATGAATTCTGAGAAGAGACAATATATTTAAATAAGCATTTACACCAAAACTTTATTTCCTTTAATCTCTCTGAGATTACTTATTGATGTAGTTTTCTGCACTGAGCTGTACAGCAGTGCTTTTAAAAAAACCCAAACAAACCACTAGACACAACTACATTAAGAGACATAAAATCATCAGAAATACTGAACATTAAAATTTTCTTTCCATAAAATAAATTGATTGATAAAATGTGCGTCATAAAAGTAACACCATCAGTTCACAGGAAAAGGAAACTAGTGCTAGTGTTCACAGAGTCATTCCAGTGTGGTATTCAATCTAGATGACAAAGAAGTACTGTACTATTATAAGCCATAACAAAAACCTTCTGCAGGAGAACTCGAAACCTTACTGCCCAGTTAAAAAGACTACGTCCACATACTAAATTCTATGGACACCTCATTCTTTTATCGTCACACTGTAACCTGCACATGATGACTGCAGCTAGCAGACAAGTAAGTACAGCATTTTCACAGCTGCCTAATGTGCTGCTCTTGTGCTCTGCAGAAATGGCACTGCAAACAGGGCATCGTGCTGCCTCATTTTAGAATAGGGCAGAAAGGAGGCAAGTAAAATACATATTTTCTCCCAAAACGCATCCAAGTTGACCCTTTCGTAACTCTCACCATCTTTTGCACAACTTGGTCCCTTTCAAGTTATTGAATATTTGTGCATAATGTATATCTAGATTAGCAGATGATCTTTGGGCATATCTACAAGATCATATTCCCATAACCTTCAGCAGCAGGTCAGCATAGCTTTATTTTAGTTAACTAAATATTTGTTAAGCCCCTCTTATGATCCATTCCTCGACAATTTTAGTGATAAAGGAATCTTATACTGAATGATTCATTGTACTGAGTACCTCCAAGAATTGCTCTCCTTCCATGTAGCCTGAAGTAGTATGTAAATTAACATTCATTTGAATGGATGCTGGATAGAGAGCTCATGACAAAGTATGCATCAGCAAGCAGCAGTGAGCACAGCAGACTTGTGGCAAACAGAAAAACCTGTTCAGTATTACACTTGTATTCTCTCCTGAAAACTAAGCATCTGTTGGGGATTCTAATAAACTGAGCTAAGATTTGCTGCTGTCTTTTAACCCTGCATTAGACATAATTTGTAAAATGTACGGAAATCTTTCTGGAGGAAATGTACGAAGCACTTATGACACATCTACACAAAACTCCTCAGTTTCAGTCCATTTGATTCATACAGTGCCAGAAAAAGTTTTCAGATGAGGTAACTCTTGCTGGCTGTGATGATTTATAATTGTTTAAATCAACAGACACAACTCAGAACCTGGCATTTTTTAAATGGCTGTGTTCGATCATATTGATTTGACTCTTCCAGCCTGTGTTTTTCACGGGATTTGTATTCAAACATGAATTAAATTCTGAAGTAGAATTATAAAGAAGATTTTGAGTTTAACTGCATTTTATGGCTCAAGTCTGCAAATGAGCTCCAGTTCCTCTAAAAACTGAATGCTGGTCTATGCAACCATTTAGTGGAGCTTAATGACTTTTTGAGCAGCTCTGCTCTGAAGTTGTAACAGGTCTATTCTGATCTCATTTACATTAGTACATACCCAAGGCTGTTACTAGAGTAAACCATGATCGAGCTGCCGTATCTTAGATCAGGATTACTGCCTAAATTCCTAACAAATCTGAAAGCAAAGGGGTTCAGGTTTGATTGGAAACATTCAGAATTGCTGTAAGTAACAACATTCTTATTGTATTATTCTTATTTTGATTTATGTTTGTTTTTTGCTTGTTCATTATCCTGCTTTTTCCACTGACTTTCATTAATATTTATTGTCTGCTCTCAACAGCAGCTGTTTGAGCTGCTACTTACAAAAGAAAAAGAAGAGAGGGAAATACAGCTCGGTATACAAAATGAACTCCAATTTAGTTTCAGTAAAAGAAACAACTGTAAATTCATTGCAGGAGATCTCTTTGTTCTTCTTCTGCTTTGTAGAACCCTGGAGTTGACTTTGGAGACGTTTCTGAAAGAATAGCTCTACGACAGCGACTGCAGTGCCGGAGTTTTAAGTGGTACTTGGAGAATGTCTATCCTGAAATGAGGGTTTATAATAACACAGTCACTTATGGAGAGGTACTGTACGTCTTTGAAAATACATCATGGCTGCATTAGAGCAGTCCTTTCATCTTGGTAGTGGGTATCAGGATGTACAGAGCAATTTCAAGTCAGAACAGTAGTAGCAGCAGCAATGTCCTCCCCTACTTTTAATCCACACTAAGTGTGGCTTTGAGAAGCACTGTCCCTGTCATTGGAGTATTTCAGATGAAATCATTCTCACGAACAATGATACACAACCTCCTTGTTTTCATTTTAAAATAGAGCAGCTCTGAGAACATAAGTTTGAGGTAATTGTTTTCCCAAATACAATGCCACAGCCGTCATCAGGAAAACAGCAGCAGTCAAAAGAGCTAAAATAATTACAGGTAATGAAAACAGTTGAGTTCGCTGAATCTTTTAGGTAAAGAACCACCTCTTTTTTGGGTTTTGCCAAACTATTTGAAGGATTACATTCACTTTATTAACGCATTTTCACAGTCCTCCTTTTTCAGAATAAAAAGCATGTCATTTTTCAGGTTATGAGGTGAGGCTACCATTTGGCAGGTCTTTATCTCATCGTGAAAAAATCATTACAGGAAAAACAATGTTGCTGCGTTGTGCTCAGATTCTGTATTTTCATTGTCACTTGTGTACAGTATCTCAGAACACCTGCTGGGAGATAGCTGAGTGGATAGGTTACTTAGCCCTCATAAAAGGCTGAACTCAAACCTGTTGGAAACGTGTAGACATTTCGGTTCACCTCAGCTGTCTGGATAATTTCTTTCTCTTCTGTCAACCAATCAAAACTCTCACATATGCTTGACCACAATCTTTAAAGAAGTCAGACACGCCTTCTGTAACTCTTTAATCACGTGCCTGTAATATAAAGACTGCTGTCACTTATGACTCTGAACTGGGGCGAAGCTCTAGGAGCTCTTCTGCTGCATAATGTTTTTTCAGATTCTGTTTTAATTGTCTACTTGAACTACAATTAAATCCAAAGGCAATATATTTTCGCACAAGACAACTAAATGGACATTATTCCTTTCTGTTCCATTTGATTGACTTCATATAAAAATAAGTCAGGCACTTCAGATAGTGATACAAAGTGCAAGTTTTATTGCATAATATCACTTTGCATCCTAATATAACTATCCCTGGCAGTAACTGAGGAAAGACATTTAGTAAATTCAACAGGAGCTATTAGTAACTGTCAGCTCTGAGAAGGCCGTTAACTGCGAAGAACATCGGCAGAACTGCCAATGTTGTGTCAATTATACCAGACGGTTGGCAAGCTGGGCTCTAAAAAGAAGTTGGTTTCTGTTGAGTTGTCACATAGAAGGTTCTTGAGTCAAACAGGAAGTTTAGTGATGCAAGTATCAATTCATTAAAATTTATAATAAAATGGAGCCACAGAAGCTATTTAGCTAGTATAAACTGGCATAGTTCCCTTTCAGTCTTACATGCCCATAATGGAAAAAATAGAGGCTTCATCCTAAATGACATCAAGCTTGTTATTAAATACTTTCTCTTCTGGTTATTTTCCTGGAGGAGAAGATGTCTGGATTTTAGTGTGTTTAAAGGAAAATAAATGTATTGAGTAGATGTGAAACAGATTGAAATAGTAGTAAAAATACATTTCTTAGTGAGTCAGCTCACATTTTTATTTAAAGCTGTTTTATAAAGCCGTCTTTATCTTCTTTAGCCTTTATAGTACCCAAGCCATAAAATAAACCTCCTAAAATTTCACTGTTGGTGAGCTCCCTTAGCCGACCAGATTCCTTGTTATGCTTGTACACTATAATATGAAGGATTATTTAATGATTTTTCTGACACCTCATGCAGCAGCTATTTCTATATTATGGGGGTGACCAGGCAAATACTTCAGTCTAAACCAAAACTGACCTGTTGACTGTTTCAAAATATCCATCTAAACCACTTCTTATTTAAGATACCTGTAAAATTTTTCTGTGTCCAAAATATGTGTGTAATACTTCTAGCCTGAAGAGAAAGGCAGGCCTGAAATTTCACAAGAGCTCCAGCCCATTTTATAGACTCGTAAATTCTTCTTGCCTGGGGAGGCACATGAATTTTTTTACTTCATTGGCTCTCTGAACTCACATTAACTATATTGAAAGCCTTCTGACACTGTTCATCATTGCTGTATCCTTTCACAATGATGTGCTTTACATCACTTCTTTACATAACCATATACAATATTCTCAATTCAAATACATTTTTTTCACATGCTTTTTTGTTTTCATACAAGCAATAGGAGCAAATAAAAGGATGCTGCATTCAACACCAGTCCTGGGTAGTTCCTATGCCATTTGATGAAGTCACATTCTCAACATATAGGGTCAAAATTTATATTTACACAATGGTAATTTGGAGCAAAATTTGGCCTGGGTTTCTTAGAGTGAATTTTACGGGGTTTTGATCCTTGAGTAAGTGCTGACAATGTAACTCTGACCCAAGGTCTGTAAAGACAGCAGGTTGTCCAAATAACATCTTTTCCTGGAGCAAATTCACTATTGGCATCCTGTCATATCTGGAGAATAAGCCTGTGTTCCTCAGAGTTTTACATACTAGTTGTTTCAAAAGCTGTAGTGCAGCTAGGATTTAGCTAGATTGGACTTGCATCGTACAGAATCATTTCTAATACAACCATTTTTTTTCTGATCTGGTTATAGGTACGTAATAGCAAAGCTAGCGGCTACTGCTTAGATCAGGGAGCCGAAGAAGATGACAAAGCAATCCTTTATCCATGCCATGGAATGTCATCTCAGGTAAATGGTTAAAATTCCATCATTAATGAGAAACTTTTAACTTTAAAAATTGTCAGAAGAAACAAAAAGTCATTTGGTGCATTTGAGTTGAGTTTGGCAGTATATTCCTGAGTTGCAAAGGGAAACATCTGGCTTTACTCCAGTCTTTTCGGGTGCCCTTTCCAAGCTTGTTCAGTGTGTGAAGATGCCAGGAAAACAGAAGAATCATAATAATTTGTTTTATTAACAGAGATCCACTGAAGATTAACAAATTTAGACAGTTTGTGAGTGAGCAGCTCTTCTCATTATGACTTGACTTATTCTAGGAATAGTACCTCTCTAAATTAACTGTTTATTGGTCCAATAGGCTCCTATGCAGAAGCGATTTAGGAAACTCCTGCTGTGATTCCCCAAGTAGGCAAAAAGTTAAGCACATATTTAACATCAACTTCAAAGAGAATTAGGAATATCTCTCAAGTTAATACTTTTCTAAAATAGAAGACTTTTTTTTTTTTTTTTTTTGGTCAGTCCCTGTGTGTACTATTATTTTCTTACAGATGTCCAAAGGTTTTAAAATGACATTTCTTCTTTCCATGCTCATAGTGATGTTACTTGTTTATTAAATACAAGTTGGATATTATTTAAATCCAGGACTTGAGCTTCTTCTGAAATGCAATTCTAGTTTCTTCTGAAGTACCATCTGAATCAAAACTACATTAATGAACGTTGTCATGCATAAATAAACTCTGACCTTATCACAGACTTAATTATCTGAAGTTCATTCATAGTTATATTGATTTGGAGTCCTGGCTCTTACATCACCGTGGAGGCATAACAAGACTTACAAAATATAAATATTGCCTATTGTGCTTAATTGCAAGCTGGTGAAGAGCCATATCTTAT